TTATATGTTAAATCGGACAAGTATTTTAAACGGATACTGTATTAATATTTTGGAATTGAATAATGTAGAATTAGATTAATTAATATCATACCAGTTTTTTTTTTCAATTTTATTGTGAAATATATATATATATATATATATATATATATATATATATATATATATATATATATATATATATATATATATATATATATATATAAAAGAAAAACACCAATACCGGCGACGCCTTTAGTGGCGACAGTCGGTCAATAGCGACGAAACATCAGCGTCGACGTTTTAGCGACGACACGTCACCGCTAATACTATTAGCGGCGACAAGTCCCACTTTTAGCGACGACGCTTGTCGCCGGTAATACTCTAGTTTCTTGTAGTTTCTTGTAGTGTTCATATTGTTTGCCACGTACCTTAAACCAATCATATTTAAACATCTAGTGTTTTGACCGATCATAATTCAAATGATAATAGTTTACAAAATATAAGGCCCATTGCAATCAAAGGAGGCCTTGAAGCTTCCTCTCTCTCCCAACAAGCACGATGAGATCATTTAAATTATCTAGGACTTCCTCTTTTACTTTTTTTTTTTTTTATAATAATATTAGCAATACTTCAACTTATAAAAAGTTGCCACTTTTGTAATTACGTTCATTAATAGGTATTTTTTTTATAGAAGTTTATAGCGATAAGAATTGTTGGGAATGTGGAAATGTATATCCTTAGTTAGTTAGTTTGTGGTTGATGGTCATCGTATTGTATAAGCAAAATATATATACTATAAAAGTAGATTAGATAATGTTTTGTTTACATTCTAAAAAAGTAGTACCACATTACAATAACTTAAATTTGTTAAACAATGTAACTAAAAAAATCTAATTGAACTTTCTAAATTGAATATTAAATTCAGTGATAGCGTTTTAAAGCTTGAGTTAATCAAGACAACTCATAAATGCACTAAAGGTTGAAGTTATGTGGGAAATCACCAACAAGATTACACTTCTTTAAGAGTAGTGTGTATTACCTTCTTCATTTTCGTGTATCTATACTTGCCATAGAAAAAACCGAACCCATAATTCTATGCCGGATACATGGTTTTATGATATAATATGTGATATTTGTTCTAAAATTTTCACTTGTTGGAGTATTTGATGGAATTAAGATAATACTCGTCCGATTATATTGTTCTATTTATCCGATCCGAACCATTTTTAATTTTATAATACTTATATTAAAATTATCATAATTAATATCATTTTTAGATTATATTATAGTATTATATGTAATGATAAACATAAAGTTTCTAATGTAAACCATTAATTACGTCTTAGAAAATTAATGGTATTGTTTTTATTACTTATGATATTATTATTATTTGGATTGATGTTGATATTTTGTCATGAAAATTAGATATTTAAATTTTAATGATTATATTTATTTATAATGTTTTAGATATTAAAATTGTTTATCCTTAAGAATTTGAAAGTAATGAAAAAACAAATCAATTTTCTGATGAGTTATGATTTGGTTTGGTAACGAAAATTCCCACGAGTAATATGATCATAAATTGGAACCTTCGTGTCCGTAGGTATACCTGTAACAAGATGGTTATTTACTAACCGAAAATCTGATGGGATCACAAGATGGAGATTGAAATACGATTTTATAATTAAATTGAGGATGAAATTATCAATATCCGTTCTAATCTCATTCTATTTCTACCCCTTAACAACGATGGTTATTTTTATATTTTTCTTTTTTGATTAAAATGACAAGTTGAGTCATGATACTTGTCATATTCTTGTTAAAACTGAAAAACACTTCTCATTCCTATTGTTTGCCACATACAATAAACCAATCATATTTAAGCATCTAGCGTTTTGACTTTTGACCAATCATAATTCGATGATAATAGATTACAAAAACATAAGGATCATTGTAATGTACTCTTTAATATTCGTAGTACTTCATCAACTTATAAAAAGTTACCACTTTTGTAACTATTTTCATTAATAGATAATTTATTTACAGAAGTTTATAGCGATAATAGATGTTGGAAATATATATGCTGACTTTGTGGTTGATGGATCATAGTATTCTTTAAGCAAATTATATACTTTAAAAGTAGATTAGAGCATGTTTTGTTACCATTATAATATAATAGCAGATTAGAGAATGTTTTGTTAACATTCTAAAATAATAGCACCACATTACAATTACTTAAATGTTTGTTAAACAATGTAACTGCAAAAAAATCTTACTGAACTTTCTAACTTCAATATTAAATTTAGTGATAACGTCTTAGAACTTCAGTTAATCAAGACATCTCATAATTGTACTAAAGGTTGAAGTTATATGGGAAATCATCAACGAGACTACACTACTTCAAGAGTAGATTGTGTATTAACCTTCTTCATTTTCGTGTACTTATACTCGCCATAGAAAAAGGAAAGGAATCCCCAAAGAGATAAAACAAGAGCAACAGCCTTTATGCTTTGGAACTTCTCTTTGAATAAAGTCACGGCGAATATCTCCATCACCGGAATTTGGATCGTAGCTATGACCCCTAATAAAAACGACGATCCATAATATATGACTCCCATTGATCCCACGAAGAAACACTGCCACAATATTATGCTCACACTTAAAATCACATAATAATTCGTTTTTCCTAATCCAAAATCTTTTGCCTCCCTCGAAATCACCTGTAAATTAATTAATCAGATAAAAAAAAAAAAAAAAAAACAATAAGTATGATTCAACAACTTAGGTATTAAAGATTTATTGTAACGGATGTGGTTCATCCATCTCTTTTTTTTTTTGGTTAAAGGTTATTTTAGTCATTTCCAAATTATCGATACAAACGAAGTTCAAATTTCTAGTACCTTGAAATCATTGTTGAAGATCATCCCCACCATGCAAAACACAGTAGCAAAGAGACACATCACCATCTGAACCTCCAACACAAGTGTATACGTGATCTCCTGCTTTGCCTTGTTGAAACTTAGCTCCATCAATGGCGACACAAACCCATACAACGCCGCTGCCACCACCGTCATAAAAAACCCCAAAACATAGTCCCTTTTCGTCTCCCCTTCAGGGCGATCGCCGCTAGCATGAAGTGCCATCAGCAATGACCCAACAGTGAGAAGCACCACCGAATTTATAGAATAGGGTGTGAACTTATGTTTTACGAGAATAAAAGCGAAAGTGGCCACGAAAATGAGTCTAGTCGCATTGATGACTGCGTATGTGGAGATAGGGAGGTGGGAGAAGCCAAAGGAGTAACAGTAGTTGGCGAGACCAGTTAGAACACCAATCAGAGCCGCCGCTATGAATAATCTCCGACGAATATAAATGAATTTTGTTGGGCGGTTGTTACCGTTGTTTCTTCCGGCAACACGGCGGTGGAAGTAGAGAGCAATGAGGATGATCAAAGTGAACGGCCACCCAACTGTCTCAACGAATCCTCTCAGCCAGATGCGGTGGCCGCCGTGGAGGAAGTAGAGGCGAGTGATTATCGGGCCAAAAGAGTTTCCGACGGATAATAGGATGCAGTGCAGGATTAGGAGGGTTTTCTTGACTGCCGGAGTAACTTTTTCAGTCAAGGATGCAGTGGTTGCTTCATTCTGATGCGGCTCCATGTATCAAAAATCTTGATACTACCGCTCAAATATCTCAAAATTAATATTGTATGACTTGTTTATGAAAATGCAATGTGCCTATATATATATATATAGAGAGAGTTGGAACTATTGTATAATTTTGGAATTTTGCGATCACGTTCTTCTTGAATGTTGACGGATGTTTGCTACATCTGCACCAATCACGATTCTGGTGGCTGCAATTTTTGGAATTTTGCTTTCTTTTTCGTCCGATTAAATCAATTCGTGTTCATGGTTATTGTCTTGACATGATTGTAATTGGGATGTTTATTCATTTTTTGAATTTTTATTTACTTGCTTCTCTTCTGCTTCTTTGATCCGCAGGTGATTTTTCCTTTATTTTATGTAATCCATGTCGGCGTTTATACGATTGATTCTGTAAAACGAAATTGTTGTGTATTTCTGTATTTTATTTTGTTGTACGTCTTCAATTCACTTGGTTTTCGATTAGTTTTTCAAAGTTTTGAATTTTGTATGCGTCCATATATAGCTTTTGTGTGGGTGTATGTGTGTGTCTATTTTTTTATCGAGTTAACTGAAACTGAGTGTGTCTCTATTCTTAATTTGGGATGCTTCACTAATGAGTATAGCCACTAGCGTTTGAGTTTTTTGAACAAGGATATCTGTTCACAGGAAGTTAGTAAATTTCAAGGCCAACTGTCTTACAAAATACACTGTCAAGAAGTTGAACTTTATGAAAAACTATATCATTAATTACTTGATGTTTTTTATTTTGCAAATGATTCTCATTCTTCTTTGTCCATTAATTGTTTTTAAAGTTACAGATCATACATGGATACTGAATGCCAAGAAACTGTTAAATTCTCCTTCATATAAGCAGTATGTCCTACACTACAACTCCTAACCATCTTAAGCAAATACAAAAGTCGAAACATGAACAAACTTTCATCTAAAATACATGCATACCATGATAAGCGCCAGATTCTGTATGTTCATCAATGGCTCCTTATAGGTTAAAGCTTGAGTTTCTCTCTCCTGGAATATCATTGTTAAGCTTTGGAAGAAATATCACATATGCAGTGCTGTAAGTATGCATCCATGTTCTAAAAACAAACAAGCAAGCAAACAATCAATCCACTGCCCTCTCTTCAACTTTATAAAGAAAGCCAAAAAATAACCACGTTATTTCTAATCACACAATCTCTAAATTTGTAAAGCTGTTCATAAGTTGTAATCAAGCACCGAATGTTTAATTCCCAATCAAATCCATACAACTATCTGATAGCCAATTGCAACCAGGAAGATGACCAGCAGGCAAATAAAGAAGACATCTAAGAAAAAAATGATTATAAAATATTGAAAAATGCTTAAAGAAGATTTGGCAAATATGGTTAAAAAAGGGTCTGATATAGATTTTAAGACTATCCCATGTTATTTTATCTTTTTTTTTTTTTTTGGAACCGACCAATAAAATATATATTAAAAAACGCAAGAAGAATAAGCAGCCACAATTAGTGGCATGCAATAGTACAGCATAAGAAGAAAGATTAAACAAGAAACAAAAACTGAACCAGAGATATTCACTACAACAATGGGCATTGAGACCATGTTGCCCAATCCATCCGGATAATTTCACCCGTGTTTTTCACCCATAGATATGTCATTGATTTGATAAAATCAATAACTTTGAGTTTTGGATGCAGGATTTTCTTAAAAACTCTTTCATTCCTTGATTTCCAAATACACCAAATAGTTCCATAGTATATTGCCAAGAGGAGCTCTCTCTTTTTTTGGCACCTACCCCACCGAGAAGCTGAGTCTACAAGTTCCTTCACCGAGTGGAAAGGTTCCATGCTCATCCCACACCATCCGAATACTCCTTCAAAAACTCTCCTAGCATAAGGGCAGTCCACTAGTACATGATCAGTGCTTTCTTCACCCTCATTACACATAAGACAATTCTTTGTTTCCACAGATACCCCTCTCTTTGACAACTCAACAGCTACTGGGATTCTTCCCATTGCCGCCCTCCATATAAAGCAATTAACTTTCAAGGGAAATACTTTAAGCCAACAAAATTTTTCGACATTGTTGTGAGGCCGATAGTCCAATCTCTGTCTAAGAGCACGGACTGTGTATGTTCCATCCGGAGATAGTTCACATCTCCAACTTGCACCGTGGGGAGAGATGGGTTTAGATAAAATAGAAGTGACAGGAATACCCTTTTTATCAAGAGCTTTTCTTATCCCAGCGATGTTATTCCAAACACCCGATAGAGATTTTTTTGAATAAACATCAATTGGTTTTGTACTAAGGTGGTGCAAACTAGAGATGACTTCCGCCCAAAGGTGTTGAGGTTCCGTTCGTAGCTTCCACCACCATTTCATCAATAGTGATATGTTAAGGCTTTTTTTTTATCGAACCTACATCTAGACCTCCCGGTTCCTTGGGTGCAACCACCATATCCCAAGACAGCCAGTGTATTTTCCTGTTTTCCTCCGAAGCACCCCATAAAAACCTGCTCCTCAGTTTCTCAAGTACTTGGATTACCCCCTCCGGTGCTGCAAACAATGACATATAATATGTTGGTAGATTGCCAAGAATCGATTGTATGAGAGTCAATCTACCCCCAAAGGATAAGGTTTTTGACTTCTATTTTGAAAGTTTTGCTTGAAATCTATCTAGAATCAGTTTCCAATTCTTCTTTAAATTCATATTAGCTCCAACCGGAACTCCTAGGTATGTGAAAGGAAGGGAAGAGGGTTTACATCCAAGAAAACCAGCCCATCTCGAGACTTCCTGCATTTCCGATCCAACCCCAAACACTCTAGATTTGTGGAAATTTACTTTTAATCCTGATGCAACATGGAAACAATGTATAATTCGAGCAAGGTTTTTGATGTTAGTCCTAGACCATTCCCCAAGAAATAGAGCATCATCTGCATATAGCAGATGGGAAATTAAAGGACCCATATTTGGAATTTTAACACCTTGGAAGATTCCCAATTCACATGCAGATCGCATCGCAACACTGAGACCCTCCATAGTTGCAATAAAGAGGAACGGAGATAGCGGGTCGCCCTGTCTAACGCCTTTAGATAGTGAGAACTCATCGGTCGGGCTTCCATTGACAAGAATGGAGGATCTAGCAGATCCGAGGCATCCTCTAACCCACATTCTGAATTTATTGCCAAACCCCATTTGCATCAGATTCGAGTCTAGGAAGTTCCAGTTGATGGAGTCAAAGGCCTTTTCGAAGTCCACCTTAAACAATAGAATTTTCTTGTTGGTCTTTTTCGCCCACGAGTAAATCTCATTGACCACCAGAGGTCCATCAAGGATGTTCCTTCCTTCACCATATGCTGATTGTACCTCATTGATGCATTGCCCCATTACTGTCTTCATTCTAAGAGAGAGGATTTTAGAGATGATCTTGTAGATACATCCGATGAGGCTTATTGGCCTATAGTCACTAATCAATAGAAGATCCTTGATTTTGGGAACCAGCGAGATAAAAGATGAATTAACAGAGAAGTCAATTTTACCAGTCTGCTCAAAATATTTGGCCACCGCAGCTATGTCACCAAGAAGCACGTCCCAATATTTCTTGATGAACTTAAAAGTAAATCCATCAGGCCCGGGAGCCTTCTCATTGCCACACGCCCATACAGCCTTCTTAATCTCAATGAGTGAGATAGGTGCCTCTAAAGCTTCCGAATCACCAGCGGGGATTTTCCTGAAGTGTCGATTCACAAGTTTCGATCTACAAGGCCATTTTTCCTTGAATTTTTCAGCAAAGAAAGAACATACCCCCTGTTTAATGATTGTTAGATCAGTACACCATTCCCCATTTATCATGAGACCATCGATCGAATTTTTCCAGTTATTTTTATTAATGATCCCATGAAAAAAGCTGGTATTTTCATCCCCGTTGATAGCCCACTTTATCCTAGACTTCTGTCTGAGGTCCAAACTTCTGATCTTTTCCAGCTCAAGGATTGACTTATACCCTGAGGTCCTCTCCATAAGCTCCTGCTCGGTCAACTGCCTTAATTCAGCATCAGTATCTAGTTGTTGCACCCATTTCTTAAGCCTCAAATGCTCTCCTTTCTCCCTGGGGGGGTCCTTGGCACGCCAAAGTTTCAAACCCTTCTTTATATGATTTAACTTGGCCGAGAGATACATATCAGGTGTGCCATACCCAACAAAGTTATTCCAACTGGATATGAAGGCTAACTCAAACCCATCCCTACACATCCATGAATTAAAAAATCTGAATGGAGTTGGGCCATAATCTTTATACGTTGTAGACAATAAGATCGAGCAGTGGTCAGATATTTCTCTAGGGAGAGCCATTACTGCAACATGTGGCCAGATGTTAAGGAACGTCGGACACACCAGGAATCGATCCAGTTTGCTTAGTTTGAGATCTGAGTTGCGGAAGCAGGTGAACCGATGACCACCCATATTCTGATCAATGAGACCCACCTCGTGGATGAAATCATTAAAATCGTTTGCAGTTTTTGCGCAGAAAGATGAATTGAATATCTCCTCTTTCCTTCTCACAGCATTGAAATCCCCCATTATGATCAATATACTTGGTCTGGAGTTTTTAATTTCCAATAACACCCTCCATAGGTTGGTTTTATCCGTATTTGTCTGAGGTCCATAAACGTTTACAAAGAACACCTTTTCTCTTACTCCATTCCAATGACCAATGTTTATTATAAAGTTGTTGGATGAAATAACCTCGGAGGACTGAAATAAGTTGTTGTCCCATACGTTCAAGAGACCACCCGACCTGCTTGATGAATTGACCCTGCTCGATCCAAAGGAATCATTTCCCCAACACCCCTCACATCAATGTTTTTAACATCTATTAACTGTGTCTCTTGAATCGCTAAGAAAGAGACCTTATATTTCACTTTTAGCCTCCTAATCCAGTCCACCCTATATTTTTCGCCAATTCCCCTGATATTGATCGATAAAAGATTCATTGATGCACACTGTACTCGCCATTTGCTCCAAGAATTTCTGCCAGCATCTTGTTAGAAGCATCAATTTCAAACCCAATCATAGCACCAATTTCAGTTGTGGCCTCAATTTCATTGATCTTTGGATCTGTGTTATCTTCATCGGGTTTGGGGGCAATGAGTTTGGCTGATAGGGACCAGCCTTTGAGAAGTGTCTTTCTCCGTCGCCAAACAGGTTATGGACTAGGAGCTCTGATGATTCACTTGTCACTGATTTGTCAAAGGAGCGACGCCTTTTCTTTCCTGAGCGCAATATCCGGCTTACCGGATTCTCAAAAGGTTGTTCGGAGACAGGGGCGTAATCACCTTGGATGGGAATGGGCCAAAGCAATCGGACTTTGCAAGAGAAGTGGTGAAAGAACTGGGCTTGGGGGAGCCCATATTCGAATGATCCAGGTTGGGAACATGATTCATAGATGAACTGTTCACTACCCGCCCTGTTACTATAATGGTCCCACCAGAATTTTCAATTGGGGCATCTTTCACATTTAATTCATTATTTTCACCATGATTCGATTCCACTACCCCATTATCATGGTATGCATGTACCTGTGATGGTTCCAATATTGACTCCGACCTTTGAGCTGGACTTGTTTCAAATGCCACGTGGTTGCCGGAACAACCTCCATCTCCGACACCGTCATCTTCCCCACTGCTAATTATTTCTCCATCTTCCGGTTCATCCACCCAGGTGTCCGATATGCCTTCTTCATCTTCTTTACTATCAACAACATCTGCCTCAGAGGTGGCATAATTTGACTGTGACTCGTATGGTTGCTCTTCATTTTCAAACTTGAAGGGGAACCACGGCTCGTCTTCATACTCGACCACCCCAATGTCACACGTTTTTCCTTCAACCTCTACTCTAACTACTTCATTTATTTTTTTCTTCATACCAGTAAGGATTCCCAATTTAACCACCGAGAGATCCAGTCTATCTTCAATGTGATTGAAGGGGACAATGATTTTCCCAAACTTTCGGACGATAGCAGAGAAATTATCCTCACACCATAGACGAATAGGGAGTCTGACGATCCTTATACTAGCTACCCTCTCGAAATTGTAATCATCATCATCACCGTATTTTAAATCGTTAAATATACCTCTCTAACTGTTTTTGTTATTTAGGAAATTCTTAGCTAGCGTCGATGAAGCAAACTCAATAATGGCTTTCATTCCACCCGCATACTTAACTTTTTCTCCATCCCCACTGTGAATGGAGATTAACGCTGGCAGATGACCAACATGGTCCAAAGTTTTCGTCTCTCCAATAAGTATTTTCCCGTTAAACATCCTCTTCATCTTTTCATCCACTTTCAAACGAACGGGTAAAGTGGATCATGCACCAATAACTTTTGCATAGGATCTGCTTCCAACAAAACCACCACCTGCCGGAATTAGCGTCGACTTGTGATTTTTACTCCCGGTTTTGATGAATGACTTTGGCAACTTCCTTTCATGTTTTGCAATGTTGATATCCAGCTTATGGTTCCTGCATAACATTCCATTCAAGCCTGCTTCAAGTGATCCCACGTCTCTGACTCCTTTAAATCTTATGAAGCCAAAGTATTTGCCATTCTTCCCTTTTCTGCCTCCGAAGTATATGTCTGTTAGTTCACCAAATGGTTTGAAGATCTTCCTAAATTCCTCCTTTGTAACCCCTGTAGGTATATTCAACACGAAGAAGCTAGTTTCATCCAATCCAGTTTGGGACTTCGTCGGTGCTTTCCTGCGTCGTACGTCCGTCCAGTTCTCCATTAGAGAGAGAGATTTTTTTGATAATCTTCTTCTTATTTTATCTTTATAACTAAATTATAATCCGTGTAATTAATAACAACATAAAATAACATAAACTATAAAAAAAAACATAATCATTAATCATAAATTTATCAATATTTAATTTATACAACATTGGATGCTTGTTTAAATTTTAACATAATCAATGTGACGTTTTAGTAAAAATGATTTGGAAATATTTTTTCTACCAAAAACCTTTGTATCGAATAAATATGCACGTAGCCTTCTAAGTGTATCAAAATATGGATATTGTAGGTATTTGAATGTTATTTTTCTTTTGCGTATAAGATGGAAGGTGTTAATAAAAACAAAGAGTTTTTTCTCTCAAACAAATGTCATATTTTCTCATATTAACTACCTTTATGCATATGCAACGTTATTTTTTAAAAACAAATTAAAGAAAATAATATAAACTAATGTTTTTCAATTCAAATCCTCAAAGTTTTTTCAACAACCTCCAACATTATATTAAATAATCGATCTTAATTGTAAAAATTTCAAATATCTTTCTATTCTCACAAAAGTTTTTAACTGTTGTCATTTAGTATCTCTTAATTAGACATTATCACATCTCTAAACTGGAACAACCGAATCGTTTGAGGGTGGAGGATGTCATATATATTATCACAATAATTGTATCATAGTAATCAAAGTAAACACAACCATTACATCGAATAAGTAAAGTATTTACATTTGTTCGATACATAATTTGTATGACAACAAAATGTATAACAAAAATATAAAAGACGTGACTTTAAAAACTCCATGTTCTCAAAACCTACGGGTGTACATGTCTACTGGTTCCCTAAGAATACAAGTGGTTTTGAAAGTGTATCAACATTTAAGTTGGTGAGTTCATAAGAATGTTTTTGTAATGAAAACGTGTCTTTAAATCTTTGAAAATGTTCGTATGTTTCTCGAGAAAATCCAATATTTTTTTTAATAGTCAAAAATGGTCTTAAACCCTAAGACCCAAAATATATGTTTGTTACTGTATTATGTAGTTGTGTATGAAAGTATTGGTATGTATGCCTGGTTACCACCAGTTGTATTGTATTGTATTGTATTGTTTCGTATGAAAACTCTTGTATGAAATCCCTGGATACCACCACTAGTTATGTATAGTAATGTACTATATGAAAACTCAGGCTACCACCAGTAATGTATAGTATTGTTCTGTATGAAAACCCTGGCTGTCACCAGTATGTATAGCATTGTTCTATATGAAAACCCTAGTTATCACCGTATGTATAGTATTGTTTTGTATGAAAACCCTGGCTACCACCAGTATGTATAGTATTGTTCTGTATGAAAATCCTGGCTACCACCAGTATGTATAGTATTGTTCTGTATGAAAACCCTAGTTGCCACCAGTAATGTATAACAGTTTTATTACTTAAATAAAATCAGGTGTTTGTATTCCTTGGAATTCTCCAGTTGTAGTGTATGGTAGTTCTATTAATTAAAATAAAACAATTTGAAGAATTGACATCCTGTAAACAAAGGTTAGTTTATATTGTTGTAGGTTTGGTATAACCATGCTTGATATGACCTAGTGACCTCTACGATGTTCTTCAGGCGTTGTGTAACATTTGGACTTCCAGGTATATTGTTTATTTATGTTTTTGGAAGGACTATTAAGCGAATCGATGATTTGGTTCTACAACTCGTCGAGTAGGTTCGTGATGTGCCACGTGGATTAATGATCTACTCGACGAGTCCGAGAGCCGACTCGCTGAGTAGACATTGTGAAGAGAAACCCTAAATCCTCGGGTTTGGGGCCTATTTAAGGACACTTATAGTCTTATTTACGGCTCACCAGTTGTTTAGCTTCAATGAGAGAAAACCCTAATCGACCATTGAGCTAAGATAGAGTATTTGAGTTAACTTTGAGTGTTTGGTGCATCTTTTTGAAGATAAGGGAAGGATTCCAAGCCAAGGAATGAGAAGGGGCTATTAGATCCGTGGTTATTTCACCTTAGATATTCTGGGAAAGGTATAAAGCTCACATCTTTCTCGTTTTGTTGAGTAGATCTCATGATTTTGGGAGTTTAGGGATTTTTCCATCTAATATGAGGACATTGAGTGTTTTGAGTTCATATAAAGGTTTGGACTTCATATCTGGACCATGTGAGGTCCCTAGAGTCCAAAAGTCCCTACTTTATTCAATCAGCCATAATAAGGCTCTTGAGTGAAAAACCCTTAATAGAGTATGTTTTTGGCATTTCAAGCCCTAACTGTCATGCATGGACATAAAGCTCGTGGCTTTACTTAATAAACGAGCCTTAAGAGTTTAGATCTAGAGTTTGGGAAGGTTTTCTACCTTGAAATCGTCTGAATGAGAAAAAAAGTCTAAATGGACTCGCCGAGTCGATGAGCCGACACGACGAGCTAGTTGAGGTTTGTCCCGATGAGCTGGTTATGCTATAACTTGGCGAGTTAGGGGTTAACTCGACGAGCGAGACCTTAACGAAGACTTCTGAGGGACGAGTGGACTCGACGAGTCACATGAGTGCACTCGGCGAGTCAGGTCAAACTTGGACTGCTGACTCGAGTTTGACTTCTTTTGACTTTAGGGTTGGTCAACATGAGTAATAGGGACCATGGAGGGGTAAAATGGTCTTTTACACATTCCAAGAATTTGAGTGAAAGAGAGAGAAACCTTCGGTAGAGACGGTTATCCTATATATTAGGTGGAGGCTAGTTCGATATGTGTGATATTTTGGGGAACTCACTAAACTTTGTTCTTACCGTGTTATGTGTTATGTGTTTCAGGTACTTCAAACGATCACGAGAAGGCGCCGGCCTGATTATACACACATAAATGATTGAGTTATGATATAGATGATCCTGGAGTTTTGAAATATGAACTGTTTTTTATATGAGATTTGATGATTTGAAATGTGACATTTTGTGTTTTATTTATTGAGACAAATGTGTTTTTAAATTGAAAATTTTGGTTTGAAATTTTACGTCGTTACATGTTGGAATGGTATAATATTTGTCACCTCAGGCATGTCTGTCTAACTGTATCTAGCAGTTCAGGTGTGGGATTGTTTGTCTCGTATAGATCTATACACAAATCTCAGGCTTTTCTTCTAGGAGACTTTGGTTATACTGTGGTAGAATTTAGTTCCGCACCCTGGAGGATACAATTGAAGTAGTGCCTTACAACCCTGTATTAACTAGTTTACATGTAGTGTTGTAGTGTTCCCTTGTAATCGAAATCGTATGTATAGCTAGTAGATTAAAAATAATTATACTTAAATAATTATTTATTAATGTACTTTTGTATTCGGAAAATAGTATTGTAAATCATAAACTATATCTACCATAGTTCATATGTGTTCGTTTTTGTATAATGTTCTCGAAGTGGTAAAAAAGTGTATTATATCCTAAACTATACCTATTCTAGTTTGAATGTATGTTCTCGTTTCATGTAATGACTTCTGTAAAGTTCTGTAATGTTCCCAAACTATATCAACTATAGTTTGATTGTATGTTATGCATTGTACTGAAAACTTTATGGTTGTATGTTGAAAACTACCCTTATTCTCAACATGTTACAAAAGGGATAAAAATATCTAAATATTTTTATAAACTGTAATGGTTTCTCGGTTTGTATCAATTGCAAAAGTTTTTAATTTGTTGAAATCATTTGCATGAAAAAACAAAAGTTCTTGTGTTTTACTTGTATTCCCCCTGAAAACATTAAAAACAGTGAAAAACGTAGGGATATGTACTCACAGTTGTTTGTGCACGTGTTGGACAACGAGACTGGAAAGATGATCCTGAGTTGATATACGTAGGATTAACGGAATCCTAATGATGGTTAAACACATAATTGTATTTAAAATTAGCGAAACCATTAATATAAAGTGTTAAAAACACTCGTTTTTATGTTAGGAATAGTTACCTAGAGTTGTTTGAAGTGAAAGAGATGGTTTTCGGTCAAAGCTCAATCCGAGAACCAAGTTCTCGGTCCAGAGGAGTTTTCGGTCGGAAACTAGTTTTCTATTCTGCTTTTGTTTTCGGCCCCTTGAAGATATGAAGGCCGTTCTTGGTGTTCTTGAGGAAAAATATGAAGATTCAAAGGATTGATCTTGAAGACGTGAAAGTTCTTAGATGATCATTGGGAGCAAAATGAGAGAGTTTTAGGGTGGAAAGGGTGAGAAATGATCAAGTTTTCAGATGAAAACCTTTATAGCGGTTGGGTTTCGACCGGAGATGGGTTCTAGGCCGAGATCGGTTTTTGGCCCGAGGGTTTTCGGCTGAAAACGAGGTGCTGAATGAGATTAGCTATTTTTCGAGGAAAACTCTTAGTTTTTGAGAGTTTTTGGTTCTAAAAAATTTATATAAACTTTATTTATATATTTTAATTTATTTTCTAACCATTATGAACTTAACGGAACATACGAAATTCGAAAATTTATTAATCGGGTTTGACTTTTATTGACTAGGAAGTATCGGGTTGTCACATCATCCCCGTTAGATGGAATTTCATCCCGAAATTCTTTCTATAGAGTACAATCATGGACTAAGAAAATGATGCAAGTACTTTTATTGCATTTGGTCTTCTCGCTCCCAAGTGAATTCAGGTCCCCACTTGACATTCCAACAAACCTTCACTTTTGATATGCAACTTTGTGTCATACGTTTGACTTCCCTATCCATAATTTCAACTGGTTCTTCCACGAAGTTAAGACTCTCATTGATCTCGATTTCAATGAATAGGATCATAAGAGTTTCGTCGGATAGAAACTTCTTAAGATTTGACACGTGGAATACTGTGTGTACGTTGTTAATTTCTTGTGGAAGATGAAGTTTGTAAGCTATGGGGCCGATCCTAGCGAGGATCTCGAATGGCCTAATGTATCTTGGATTAAGCTTTCCACACTTTCCGAAGCATATCATGCCCTTCCAGGGTGAGACCTTCAACAGAAGGCGGTCACCAACTTGGA